TCAGGAATAAACAGCGGCGCGCTCCGTCTCAGGTAGCAAGCCGCCTTCGTCGGTCGACCGTAAGCGGCTGGTGTCATTCATACCTGAATGACTTTACATTTAGGGGGTGACTGTGTGGACGAGCTTGTCCTCCGTCGCGGGGTGCCGAACGATGTTTTTAAACGAGTGCATGCGTTAATTGCTTATCGTTCGAAGCTTCGCTCGATAGGATAATATCTTTATTCCTGAAATATTGAATATTGACTTACTGTATGTTTTATGTGCATTGCACATTTTATTACCACTTCGATCTTACTCCAAGTGTTTGAGGTTCTTGTTTCCGCAAAAAAATAATATGCAATTAACATGGATCATACAAAACGTATAATGATATTAGAATGAAACTAAGATGAAATTTGCCGCACCTTCATTACGATGCATGAAGAAACTAAGAAACTAAAATAAATAAAATTGTTAAACACATACATTCGGTGTAATATGAACCATTTCTAACATGGAATTGGAATTCGAGGTTGAAAGTTCTTTTTACAAGTTAATGTCTAGAGGGACGGCCGAAAACACAATAGGCAAGGTCTTCGTCGATGGCAGTAAGACGTTACAGGAAATCGGCGGGTGGTCGTCCTGCAGAAGACAAGAGGCAGTTTTATAATGTCCAGACGCGCGCTCCCTCGGCATCGTGGCCAAGTAGCCTCGAGGCCCCGAGTGGTGTATGAGAAAAAAATACAGATGTTGCTCTAAGAATATACGAAAAGAAACGCGACCTCCAAGACACTTTCCCATGCAGTTTTTCCTTCCCAAAAAGTATTGACCATGAAAGAGTGGGGATCGACCTATTACGCCACATCGATCCTAACGAGGGAGGATCAGTTCAACAATATCAGTCGTCCTTTCCGAACGGTGCCCTTTGCATTCTACGAGCAAATAGAGTTCATCTTCGGAAAACTAAGTTTTAGTTTATTTAGCGATTACGTAGTGATTATTTAGTAGTGTCGCGTATGTCGTCGTTATAAATAGTGCAAATTAATTATTGTAAGTCTTATTAATTATTGTAGGTTTTATTAAGTATTGTAGATTTGATTAATTATTGCAAGTTTTATTAAATATTGTAGATTTTATTCATTATTGCAGGTTTTAATAAATATTGTAGGTTTTATTCATTATTGCAGGTATTATTAAATATTGTAGGTTTTATTAATTATATCGTGTTAAAAATTAGTATAAAAGTTAGTGTTAAATAGTTTTAAATTAATTATTTTGAGTGTTAGTTTTGTGTAACCTATAGAGTGTTAAACCCAACGGAGGAACAGCTCGCGGGTCTACTTAATCGCGCAGTGTGTGAACATTTTTCGCGGTCGGGACAATCGCGCAGTGTGTATGGACATTTTTCGCGGACGGGACAATGGCTCAGTGTGTGTGGACATTTTTCGCGGACTTCTGTGGTGTACGTGCGTGTGCGGATTAATTTCATGGATACTCGTGGACAGGACAATTGTGATACGTGACAACTAGAGGGGGCATTAACCCTCTCTACTCGATAATATTCGTAAGAAGATATTTACATTTCTTGCGAATTTTATCGAGTAATCAGAGTTAATGCGATACAAATGGATTCGACTCAAATACCGCGGGCACAAGTTATCGACATCTTCTACGAGGTAAGTAAACAGCTGTTCTACCGACTGTTCCTGCACGTCGTTGAGTCTTTAAAGTGACTGTACGCCCCTGTTGAGCCGTGATCCGCTGACACTCCGTGCGCGCGGATTGCCATGATTTCGGTCAATTTTTAAACTCTTATAACTAACAAACGAAGCATTTTTCGCAATTTCGTTATCCTTGATTTTCGTCTTATTTTGCCTCAAATAATCACCCCTTAAATTTTTTCCCACTAGTTGTCGAACACCCTGTATATTAAAACTTCGGAGATGTATATATTATTATAAAAATAAATCTATATATTATTTATAAAAATATTTGTGACTTTATGAAACATATCCTTAATGATAAAACTTGACACGTAGAGACAAAATTATTATCCTATTTCGTTAACTTAAAGCATACTTGCCGTAATGTGATCTAGGTGGCAGCACTTTATTAGGGGGTTCTTGCTTGGGTAAGGAAAGAGCGCGCGCGTGTGCGTGCGTGCGTGGTGCGTGGTGCGTGGTGCGTGGTGCGTGGTGCGTGGTGCGTGGTGCGTGGTGCGTGGTGCGTGGTGCGTGGTGCGTGGTGCGTGGTGCGTGGTGCGTGGTGCGTGGTGCGTGGTGCGTGGTGCGTGGTCGTGCGTGCGTGCGTGTCCGTGTAGCTCGCTCACGGCGGAAATTTTCCAGACGCGTACGGGGTAGCCGTCATCGGAAAGTGACAGTTTAGGCTTGTAAAAATTAGTTTTTAGGAACAGTGTGAGGTTGAGGGCGATCAAGGAAATTCTGACCTGTGAGGTATGGTCTTCAACTATTCGTGTATTGCTTTAGAGTAGCGTACTCTGACTATTATTGTGTAGCAATGTTTCCTACTTTTAGTTCATCGTTTTATTTACTTTGTTACGAGCCGAGGACTAAGGGCAGCGTTCGCCGTAGCCGAGGTAAGGTGGTGTGTTAGGAGCGGACGAACCAATGCTTATTTCATCATTGGGAGCCGCACAGATTGGTAGGAGAATCGTAGACGCACGTGAGCTTATTTCATCACACGAAGTCACTAGCGTTACTTTACTTTTTCGTTAAAGTCGTGGACGAACCTATGTTTATTTCACCACCGGGAGCCACTTCAAGGAGCGGACGAACCGATACTTATTTAATCACCGGGAGTTGCTTTAAATTAAAGGAATAGGTTGGCTTCGTAACTTTGTACTTAAGAATACAGTACGCTTCGAGAGGTAAAAGTGTACTGTTGTGGGTTTTACTCAAGCTAGGAATTCGAATATGTTTCAAGACTTGTAAATAAATTGGATTCTATATTTATAGAATAAGTAATACAAATATATTCTAAATCAGTCGTAGGACTTTACGAATGTCTGAGTTGCAAGTGTCGCGGAAATTCCAATTTCGGAATTCCACCTCCCTGAGATTATGTGCCAAGAGAGAGTGCGGGGTTACGTTAAAGTAATGCCTAACAGTAAATTTACGTACTGTATGGTTATGAATGCTTGAAGAGGATTAACCCGATCTTGCTAGTACTTCTCTCTTCTATGGAAGTCAGACTCGAAATGTGAACGTCGACGATACATTTGTGGCCTTTTATGTACCCGAAATTGGTCCAAAAGTCACGTATGCATCCTCTCATCGGAACTGTAATTCTTGAAAAATCTAGATCGTTGCATCAGCACGGAAGTGACGGTCTTTATCTAAGCCTGTACATTCTAGCGTTCAAGAAAGAGTCAAGGGTTAAAAAGAAAGCCTTCTTTGTTGTTGACGTACATGACAACTTAGTATAGTTTATATATACTGTTTTCCTGAAATCATCGCTGTTCGGAAATTTCCCTTCAAGTATATCCCACACTATATTGCGTTTAATATAATAAATAATATGTATAAGCAATTAACGTACTTTTTCACTAATTGTGTCTCAATCAATGGGAACCGTTTTCAATGTTTTTACTTTTTCTTTCTCACAATCCCCCCCCCCCCCCCCCCCATAACTCGACATTTTTGGACATTATTTAGTCTTTTATGTCAATGATACTACTTCAACAAAAGTAATTAAAAAGCCTGTAAAATACTAAATATTCATCAAGTTTTCAAAAGCTACCGAAATTATCAACACTTCCATGACCAGTCAAGCTTCCAAGACTGCTAAAGACTTCGAATCCGTTCAGAACTTTCAAGACCCAAGACCTATCAAGACTTTCAAGAGTTTTAAGCTTCGAATCAGGTTCGAAGCGATTCGAAGCGTTCCAAATCCCATCACTAGCTACATGGACGAGATTTTAAGGAACACGTACAATTCTGTGATTGGTTGTTCCACCAGATGGAAGATTCGAATGGTACATTTATACAAACTGTTTTATGGGTTGACGAAGCCACGGTCACGAATTGCGGAGATATTAATACAAAAAATATGCGTTATTAAGCAACAGAGAATTCACATTGGATTCGTGAAAATGACCACCAATACCGGTGGAAAGTGAATGTTTGGTGCGGCATAATTGGTCATTACATCTTTGGATCGTACTTCATTGAAGGATCATCAACAGGTCAAACATACTCCACATTTTTGTCCGAAACACTACTAGACCTATTAAAAAATGTACCGTGTCTAATATGTCAAATAATGTGGTATCAACAGAACGGCTGTCCAGTTCATTATACTCGGAAATTTCGACAAATATTAAATAGGATGTTTTCTAATCGTTGGATCGGACGTGGCAGTAGCATTGCTTAATCAGCTCACTCGCCAGATTTAACGCCGCTCTATTATTTCCTTTGGGGAACATTAGAAAATGAAGTTTATCGATGGCGAATGACTGGAGAAGATATGCGAGAACATATTACTAGTGCATGTGCAGCAATAACAGCAAAAACATTAAAAAAAAGTTCTTTCATAATCCGATTAGTCAAGTGCATTGATTGTAATGGACAATACTTCCAACACCGCTTGAAAGAAAATTTGTTCTACAAATTAATTTACGAATCATTTTAAAGCCTATTAGGTGTAATATTTTTTTATGCAGAGTTTGGTGTTTTATCCAAATTCAGAAAAAATTTTGTAGGCGTTCCATTTAAAAAACTGAAGATGACCATTATATCTCGATAAAAAAGCAAAGTAACAAAGAACAGATTTCAGCATTGCATGTTCCCCCGGAAATCAGGCAACATTTGTTTGAAAAATTTGTTCGTACAACAAATAACTTACAAGTTATTTGAAATCGTCATGTTACGAGACTCACCCTGTATTTGCCTTTAGTATCGTTCGAATAATTATAAACCGTACTGTTTATAACTAATTTCTTTGGTTATAACAGAGACAGTAATTTAAGTGATGATTAACTACAAATATTTGTAACATTTCAGTATCAATCTAATAGTGAAATTAAAGAAACACCAACAGAAGATTGTGTACTAGACTGTCCAAAAACCGACAAGCCTTGCAATCATGCCACATGTTGCGGTCCTTCTAAACAGGTATGTGTTTCCGATTGTAATAGGTGTTCTTTCCTCTATAATTTAATTCCTATCCCTTCGCTTCTGCAGTATAACTTGAAGAGAGACACAAACTCCCGTTCTCCTTGTCCTAAATCAAAATGTCTTGGACGATGCTTAGAAGCTATTAAATCAGATTCGAATACTGTTATAGGTAAACATATCATATTTTATTGTCCAAGTGCTGTAACGCAGGTAACGTTGTGAGATAAATCCAATGTAAGCCAGTACGAAGTTGTACACGATATTCCCGTTAAACTCAAATTACTTACAAGATATTAAAGTAATTTTTAAGGTTGAAATATGAATAATTTTTTACAAGAACATCGGGTCATGGAGAAATAGTGATCGAATGATAAATTGATGAAACTTATATATTTTTCTTTTTGAAGAATGTTTTGTATTTGGGTAAAGTTTTACCCAAATACAAAAGTAGCTGAAAACAAAAGGCTACTGATCAATTATTTTTCTCAAGATCTCTCTTTTTTTTCTAAGAATCTTTTTATTATTTGTAAAATAAATATATTTCACCTGTTTTCTTGTCTCAAAGTTTGGGAACTATATCATACATAAAGTTCACCAATATTGCTGTGCATTATTGTTGTTAAGAATGCAAACAACAGTACAAGGTTAAATGTTAGATGTTCAAAATTAATTTATCTTTACTCCAAACATGATGAATTATCAGATTCATTGATGATACTATTTCCTGACAGGATAAGTGTTGAATTTGTCAGGACACAGGAAAAGTGAAAATCCGCTCACTATCTTTCAGCGATCAGACTTCAGTAATAGTATTAACTTCTTTCTGTGTGACCAATAACGTTTATTAACATTCATAAATCATACATATACATTTTATGTGTTGATAATATTCTGTTTAAATTGATTAAATAAGTAATACCTTTGAAATTACTTCTAGGCTGCGTACACAATACAAAAGTATACATTACAATTGAAATAACAAACTTATTTGCAGTATTATTTGAATTTATTCACCGTATAAAAGAATTCACAATATAGTAATTTTTAGCATGCCCATGATAACGAGATTTAATACAAACGTAATTTGCTTCCTTCACACAAACATCGATACATGAAAATATCTTTTAAATCGGGCACACGTTTGATATTGCTTCACTCTAAGACGTTTACGTTTTATTAGCACATTGCTCATTTACATATTCAATTTAGATTTCATTCCCAGTCTTTTTACACCATTGTTGACAATTGATTGTGGAACGTTTAATGTATCTGTACTTATTTGACGATTATGTTTTATATTTATTAAAACACGAATAACATTACAAAATTCTTACAGCACGAACTTTTTGGACGTCCTAATATTTCATAATTAATCCACCATTCACTTATTACCGACACAGTAAATATTTAAATTAATAAAATATTATAATACACAGATTCATAAAATATGTATATTTTTATACAGGGCCGTGAAACTCCTTCGCCCGGAGAAACGCCATATATGTGCAGACAGCGCAATAGTCTCGCACGCTCAACTGGATCTATCAGAGGAACAGAACAACAAGAAGTAAATGAAATGGAACGCGGACATTTACTATCGTTGCCCGCCTCGCATAATTCCGTCCAACTTCCGCATTCTCAAGTTAATACACCAGTTGTCTAAGTTGTCAATCGTATTATCCATACCTACCTCTATAACAACATCTGCGGCGCGTTACAAAGTTATTATAAAAATTTCAATAAACTGATATACATACATACGATTCGTTGTTATTAAAGACGAAGATAAATCTTTATAATCTATATCTACAAATGATTACAGACGCGTAAATTATAACATAGTAATATATAGAATGTATTATTTGTACAAGAAGTTACTATTTGTATTTGTATTTACCGCAAAAATACCACGATTGTGTTATATTTAGCACTTTCTTTTGGATAAACCTTTTCGCCGCACGTTTCACGCCATATCACCTTTATGTAATTATCGACACTCGAGGAAGCGTTTATCAATCATCAGTCGAATGCGAAACCGAGCCAGGCACATCTCTGATCGTCTTCATCTCATCACTAATATGTTGTAACTCCAATATTTTTTATACTAAAATACAAGCTCTATATAACCACAATGTCAAACGATTCTTTGTCTGAACAGTCGTGTCATTTCCTACTGAATGAATTTGTAAGAAATTTTCGATAGGACGTGGTGCTAGTGGTCGTCGCTAACTAATGCTGCTTTGACTGCTGTAATGAATTGATAGAAATGTATGTTTTCAAAGTTTTAAATCAAGAAGAGAACTTCCAGTAATTCGGCTGTAGTTTCTAGTCCGGTCCTAACATAGAACACCTTTCTTTGAAACAAATTCCAAGTTCGCAAGCATTACCACGATGTTACACTCGATTTACAGTATTCCATCGAGATTAATATGGATTGCCTGGGTTTTACTACGAGGGTGTTGCTGCGGTGGAGTTCCAAAAATGTTAGAATGGAATCACAGTAATACATACCTTAATATTACTTATACTAAACTCCTTCGGTGAATGACTTCTTTCTTGAGACTTAGCCTATAAAAAAAGGCTAAGTCCCTGAAGGTTTTTAAACGAAGAAGATGGATGGATACAAAGTATCAGCGAGTACTTCGTATAAGCATCTAATACTAAGCAGTTATTAAGTTTTACCTACAGATAACTTAACAAAAGAATATCGAAAAAATTCTTGAACATGTTGCCCGATAACTACTACAGTACGGTACGTCTATAAGATTTTTTACAGAATTTTAGCGTCTCTTTAAATAGGAAACAAGGGGAAAAACCGCATAATCCGAATTTTACCTCTTACTAGAGGGTTGACAATTGGTACACATTTTTTTTCTTGGTAAATTGTCGATGGCTCATCCCAAGTTCAATTCGGTCTAACAAGGAAAGGCATGGAAGTGTCCCCCTCCGATTTTGATGAAACTTCGTATGTCTGTTAAGCAGTCAAAAATAAGGGATAAGTTTTTTTTTTATCGGCTGAGACGCGACTTTAAGGGATGAAACCACCCCTCGAAGTTTCAACCCGAAAGTACTATCTCGAAAACCAGAGAAGATACATGACAACTTCTACTGGACGAGGTTTGCGGTTTTTTATGTAGAATAATATGATGCTAACAAATTGTCCAAAATATAATTTGTTTATAACAAACAAATTTTTACAACTTTATTTTACAATTTATTCAAGTTTACATAATAACAAAAAGTAACGAGCATTTTATTTCAAATCCATTGATACATTTATTTTTCAAATTGTCTCCTACAGTTTCACAGATTTTTATTATTTATGTCCTCTGCCGTGCGCAAGATCGTGCCCCTTGAGTCACCTCGCGATAGATAAGCGCAGCGATAAATGCAGTACATACAGTCGGTAAATGGAGTGATTTTTTACTGTGTCGAGTATTTGAATTCAAGACGTCTAGTATTCTCGAAATTATACACCATCTCGAAAAATACACAATGGTATATATTAATCAGATAAATGTGCTTGCTCTACTATCCATAGCTTTTAATTCTGCGGATAAAAAATAAACGCCTATTAACAGCGCCGAGTTAGATTTAAAAGCCATTTTATATAATATAATTGTGCAAAGTATGGAAAGCCCAATGTTCAGTATGGAACAAAAAACATATTTAGATATTGATAGACACTTTGCAAACAGTGATCATTCGGATATTGATATTGACAATGAGTGGCTGGCAGGAACGGAAATGGACCTTACTGATAATGAGAAACAGAATCAACAATCAGAAATATGTACGCCCATTGAAGCACCAAGTGTCGAGTACAGAAGAGATGCTGTGGTATATTGGAAAAGTGGTAAGACGAAACGTTTGAAATTAGAATCAGTGCAATCGAGATTCAAAATGGTTAAGTCTATTCGACAGTTACGTAAATGGGCTGCTCAAGTCGAAGAAGGTGGTACACGTTTGGATAAATTACTACGCATCACAGATTATACATACAAAGATGTCATAGTAGCAATTCAATCAAAAACAGTAATACATGACATAGACATTCGGCGGTGGGCGTTACAAGCAAAATTGTCAAAAGATTTACCATCATTTACAGCTAGTCGTACATAGTTGTTAAAATTTAAAAAAGCATATGGTACTGTATCGCGAAAAATTACAAAGTTCATTACGAGGTCCAATGCTGATAGAGAAAACGAACAGACTTCAAGTTTACACAACTTTCTGGAGCGTGTTAAATCGTATACCGATTGTTACAGATTTGAGAATTTGTACAATTCGGATCAAAGTGGTTTCAACCTTGAATTACATTCTGGACGAACTTTGGCGCTACAAGGTACGAAGAAAGTAGAAACTGATACAATCAATTCCATCCACAACTCATAGTTACACTATACAACCCACTATCTCTACAAGTGAAAAACTACTGTCTCCTCTTTTCGTCGTGTTAAAAGAAGCATCTGGAGAATTTGGACCTAGAGTACCACAGACCATGTTCAAGGCAGCGAACATTTTTGCTACAGCGTCAACATCTGGAAAACTTACAAACCAACATTTTAAAACTTGGTTAAAGAAAGTTTACTTTCTTAACCCTCATCGGTCCCCCGTATGCGCACGCATACAATTTTGATCTTTAACCTTGAATAAAATAAAAACGGTTCAGCGGAATGACCTTGTATTTTGCAAAGTAGAATTATTTTGCCTGAACAACCAAAAAAATCCGTTTTTGAATTTGTACCCTTACTGTATTTGCCTGTGCAGTTATAGTTACGAATCGGTCCCTGTGTATGTGCGCGCATACACATAAGCAGGTACCTGGTGTAGTAAATGAATATTTCTGTTTATTGTAATAAATGAATATTTATATTTATTGTCTGGTGTCAACAGATACGTTTGTACGTGTAGTAAAAGAACAAAGGATATTTATTGTCTGGTGTCAACAGATACGTTTGTACGTGTAGTCTTCGACCGACTGCCCGACTCGCATAACGCGAGTCGCGTGGAGCTTCCTTTCTTCCCCCCTCGGTCACAGGATCGTCTTTTCGTTCTCGCGGCCGCGACGCATTTCGGCCGCCTGGATGACGAAATATTCCTTTTTGAGGAAGCCTCGTTCTCACTGGAATTGCCGCTTATTTTTGTGTGTGGATTTATAGCACGCTCTTATTTTTTCGTTTTATGCATTTATTTGAATTTTGGTTGTGTTTCGAAGTATTTGATAAAAAATGGATAGAGTTTTACGTGAAAGAAGGCAGCGAGATGACCTAGAAATGGATTTTGATTTGGAAAGCGAAGCGGGCGAATCTCCGTGCAATAGTGACGATGATTTTGCATTATCAGACGAGGAGAATGATGAAAGTGAAGTTAGCGTGCATTCGGATGAAGACGACATTGAGTCACTTGAGCAAAATTTAGCAGAAGAAAATGCAGCAAATCCTGAAAATACATATTTTTCAAAAAATAAGAAAATTGAATATTCATCGCAAGCATTTGAAATAAATCGAAGAAATTCATTTCGACGTGCAGAAAATTTCACTTCAGGTAAAAACCTACCCTCTTTGTTATGGGTTCATGTTCATTATATGTTTCATTTTTGTTATAATTCAGGTCCAAAAGCATTAGCAGCTGCTAATATAGTTGATGTTTCGTCTGCATTTCACATGTTCCTTGGACCGGTTGAGAATATTATTTTGAACATGACGAATTTATATGGTGTGCGAAAGTACAAAGACGAATGGGAAAACATTGATTTGGACACTCTGCACGCATACTTTGGATTGTTGCTGCTTTCTGGTGTGTATCGGTCATACGGTGAATGTGTCACTAAACTGTGGAATGAAGAAACTGGTCGGCCAATATTTAGAGCAACAATGTCTTTGAAAATGTTCAAGCGTATCCATGGTTGCATTCGATTTGATGACCGCGAACAACGTATGGCCAACACTGCATCTACAAGTACTTCTGTTCGTGACAAATTGGCACCGATTCGAAATGTATACGATAAATGGAATCATAATTTGAAAGCTGTATACACACCAGGAAAAAACATTACCGTAGATGAACAGTTAGTTCCGTATCGTGGGCGATGTCCGTTTCGTCAGTATATTCCATCCAAGCCGGCGAAATATGGCATCAAAATTTGGGTGCTATGCGACTCAAAAAGCTGGTATGCATACAACACACAAATTTATGTTGGTCGGAATCGTAATGCCACTCCTGAACGCAATCTCGGACGGCGTGTTGTTTTGGATTTGGTGGAAGGACTTTCTGACAGAAATGGGAACGTGTGACAACTTTTTCACTTCGTATGAATTGGCAGAAGATTTGCATAAGAATCGCATGACTATTTTGGGAACAATAAGGAAAAATAGGACTGAAATTCCTTCAGTTCTACTCGACATGCGTCAAAAGCCAATTTATCATACAGAAGTTGTATATGAACATAAATTGCAAGCAGTTATGTTGTCATATGTTCCTCGCCGGTACCGATTTGTGACATTGCTCAGTACATACCACAATGTTGTCAGCATAAATGAGAATAGTGAACAGAAGAAACCTAACATCATTGAAGACTACAACAAAACCAAGAGTGGAGTTGATACTATGGATCAAATGGTGGCTACGTACACATGCAAACGAAAAGTCAATCAGTGGCCAATGGCAGTATTTTGTAACATGCTTGAGGTTAGTGCGTTGAATGCATTCGTGACGTTCATTGCATTGTTCCCGAATTGGAAAAATTCTAAAACGAACCATAATATTCGTCGTCGCCTTTTTATCGAGGAGCTTGGATTGAATCTCGTTGAAAAACAGATCACTAAACGTAAAAAACAACCTCAAAGTAATGATGCTTCCAGTGTTATTCAAAGAATTCGGGAGATTCGCCATTTACCAAGTACATCAAAACGAGGCCGATGCTACATCTGCACATATAAAAATAACAAAAATCTTTTTGCTACACGCTGTGAAAAGTGTAGAAATTTCATTTGTGCTGAACATAATTTCAATTTATGCGAAAAATGTACAAATAATTGACAAAAGTTAAAAATTCAATTTTTTTTTCTAATATATGTAATATTCTAATTTTAATTTCATTCTAAATCTACCTTTATGAAGTTC